AATGGTGCATCAAGCTTTAATGAGATTGATCAAGCACAATCATTCCCGAATCACTGAATCCCCTCACTCGAAGATCATAGAGCATCAAGAGAAAGAGACATTTTGAGCAAGACAAGATCGATAGCATCAAAATGAATTGATCCTTGGTTCAATACCCTGAAACACTTGTTTGGGCCTATTTATCCTTTTTTTCATAACCACGAACCCTGGCCTACATTACGTGCCTTAAAAGTCCCTTCTAATCATACATGGATTTCTAAACAGAAGAGACTATCTTTAGATTTCATCCCGCCCATCAGGATTAATCTTTGTTTGCAAAAAAACAATGTAATTAATGTATGGTAGAGAAAAATAACAAAGGGGGGGTTCAAGACGTAAATCCTGAATAACGTCTTGAAACCAAAGGAGGATTCGAGTTGAAAACCTGAAAAAGCGGCTCGAATATAAAAATTGTGCAACTGAAGCGATCACACAAATTCCTTGATAAGGCATCGCACAATCCGAGTGTGACAACGAAGGTTGAGAGTCAGAGAACACTTCCAGTAGAGAAGTATGCAAGCTACCCCATCAATCCTTTGAGCATCAAATGCCAAACCTTTGACCAAACACAATGACCTGAGACTTTTTATCCTTTCCTTACTTGACCATCTCTCAAAGATAGCTTTGATCTTGACACTTGTCAAATAGCTATAATTTATTGAAGGATTAACATTATAATTAATTCTTTGATATCCGATGAACTCTAGTTTTATGATTCGTCTCAATTGTAAAACCGTGATAGGGGCAATATTTTTAAAACTTGAGATTAAACATTTTTTGAAACTCTTTTAATTGATATTTTCATGACTTTGAAAATAAAAGAGAAAGAAAAACATTTTTTTTCAAACAAGACAGTCTCTCTAGAGTGGATCTTGGTAAATGACATGTGACTCTCAAACACAAAGCTCATGCTTAGAATCAATGATGAAGCAAGAAATGAGGAACATTTGGGGTATCTTTGAAGATTCAACATCAAATATTGGGGCATTTTTGGATATTGAGGCATCTTTGGGGATTCAACATCCTAATGCGAATTATCAGACCTTTTTCAGGAGATAAAATATAACCAATTCATGTTACATGCATCTTATGCATACATTTTAGAGCGTCATATCTATCATTTTCTTTCCACGTACATAATTTTTTACAGCTTTAGAGTCAAGTTCGACTTCAAGACGAAGGATACTCGATTCAAAAGCACCTTTACAGATTGATGTCGGTTGCTTAGCTCAGCAGCAAGAAGCTACACTTCAACCAACTCGACAGATAGAAAGATTGACATTCATTTTCAGATTCGACATTTCCAATATAAATTCTGTCTCGCTTGAGACAGTCTCATTTAATGCAGATGATTATCTCACTTGAGATTGTTTTTTTAAAACAGACTTTGTCTCACTTGGGACTGTTTTACTCGAAAGAAGATTTATTTCACTCATGATTGTTTTTCTTAAAACAAGATTTGTCTCGCTTGAGACCGTTTTCACTAGAAGAGTTTTGTCTCTCTTGAGACAGTTTCCCTTGAAACAAATTTTGTCTCTCTTGAGACAGTTTCTCTTGAAACAAATTTCGTCTATCTTGAGACAGTTTCCCTTGAAATAAATTTTGTCTCTCTTGAGACAGTTTCCCTTGAAACAAAATATTTGAATATGTTTTCTTTGAAACAAATACTGTCTCCCTTGAGACCGTTTCTTTTGGAACTAAGTTTTGTCTCTCTTGAGACAGTTTCTCTTGAAACAATTTTCGTCTATCTTGAGATAGTTTCCCTTAAAACAAAATCTTTGAATTTATTTCCCCTAAAACAAATTTTATCTCCCTTGAGACAGTTACTCTTGAAACACAAAATCTTCAAATTTATTTCCCTTAAAACATAATTTTGTTTCCCTTGAGACCGTTTCTCATGAAACAACAGATATCTTTGAGATCGTTTCCCTTGAAATGAATTCTATCTCTTTCAAGACAACTTCTTTTGAAGCATCATCTGAACCGTTACACTCAGCTCAGGCACATACTTGAGATGGTCGAGAAGCATTTCTCAAATCAAAAATAGAATGTGCACATCAGATTTGAACATTTGAAGAATTCAAGATCAGGGATCAAAATTTGAAGATTCAAGAATCAAGATTCCAGACAAGCAACTGGAGATCGATATTTCTCTCCAGAGCCCCAAGATAACATATGTTGCATATGCATTTTAGGCACACCTAAGAGCATTGCATCCATAGCATCACATATATGCATAACTTTTTCAGGTTTTAGCTAGAGTCAATTTTAACTTCGCGGCGAAGGATATTGAACTCAAAGCGACACGATTTGCTCGAGAGTGGATTTCAACTTCACGACGAAGGATATCTAGCTCGAAGCCAAATTTCACAATAAAGGGGTCTCCACGGTTTCAACTTCACGGCGAAGGGAATTGTGTCCACCCGCAACATACAATACTTGGATTTCAACTTCACGACGAAGGATATTCAAGTCAAGGCTCAACTTCACAACGAAGGGGCCATCTGCGATTTCAACTCCACGAAGGAGGATATCGTGGCACTCGAGGCAACACAAGTTCAACTTCACAACGAAGGGACGGCTGGTTGTCAACAAACAACTTCTCAATTTCAGAGCCAATTTCAACTTCACAACGAAGGATATTGGACTCCAGACAACGCAAGTTCAACTTCACGACGAAGGGACCGCTGCCTGTCAACAACAACTTCTCAATTTCAGAGCCAATTTCAACTTCACAACGAAGGATATTGGACTTCAGACAACGCAAGTTCAACTTCACGACGAAGGGACCGCTGCTTGTCAACAACAACTTCCCAATCTCAGAGCCAATTTTAACTTCACAACGAAGGATATTGGACTCCAGACAATGCAAGTTCAACTTCACGACGAAGGGACCGCTGCTTGTCAACAACAACTTCCCAATCTTAGAGCCAATTTCAACTTCACAACGAAGGATATTGGACTCCAGACAACGCAAGTTCAACTTCACGACGAAGGGATCGCTGCTTGTCAACAAAATTTCATTCAGATTCAATTTCAACTTCACAACGAAGGATATTGGACTCGATACAACACAAGTTCAACTTCACAACGAAGGGACGGCTGGTTGTCAACAAACAATTTCCCGGTTCCAGAGCCAATTTCAACTTCACGACGGAGGATATTGGACTTGGAACAATGCTACTTACTTGGATTTCAACTTCACGACGAAGGATATCCAACTCAAAGAAGGATTATCTGCCATCAAAATTGTCGAGTTCGACTCCATTCAGCTCGATGACACATCAATCGCACTACTTTCCTGTTGCAGTCGAGGTTTTCAAGTCGAGGAGAGGACCTGGGTTAGCCGTGCCTTAGTGAGAAGCAAACATTTTCAAACAGCATAGCTTAAGTCAAGAAAAAGCTATCTGTCAATGAAGATTTCTCAGTTCTATTCCGATCAAAGGTCTTTAAACCGAGAAGAAGACCGAAGGGTAACGGGAAGCCACGTGCTGATTCAAATTCCGAACTACGGCTTTAATTTCATATCATTTCAAGATGAACTCGACTTCACGATGGAGGAGTCATCCGTAACTCAATTCGACAGGGAGTTATTGAAATATCAGAGTTAATTTTCAAATCCACTGAACGAAAAGTGTGTCTTTTAATCTTTGCCCTATCCCCGTTACACGACTATGGGCAAAGAGGGGCAGCTGTCAACACACATTTTTCGTCCTACTAGGATTCAAACTCCTAAAAATAGGATAGAATTTTAGGATTCAAACTCCTAAAGATATGATAGAATTTTGCTAGGATTCAAAAAATAGGATAGAATTTTATGATTTAAACTCCTAAAGATAGGATCTACAAGCACTATAAATAGCCATTGTAACTCACCATTGTAAGACACGATTTACACACAAAACATAGAGGAAAGCACGAGAAGATACAAAGGCAAAGCTATTGTAAACGATTCGAAAAATAAATAAAAGGTAGTATCTTTTTTACTTTTGATTTGGTCTCTTACATTTACGTTTTAATTATTAGTATTTTATTTATTTAACTTTATTTATAAGCACATTTTCCCTTGTTACTCATTTTATTTAATTGTTTTGTTATTTTTCTTTTCTTTTCATGTAATATTTTTTTTACATTTTATGTATTTTCTTTTTTTACTTTAGTATATATTTTTATTTTTTTTAGATTATATATATAAATATATTATTTTTTATTATCAGTTTTATTAATTTATATATATATATATATTTACTTTTTTTTATTTTTTATTTTATATATATATTATTTTTACTTTTTTATTATTATTTTATTTATTTGTTTTATTTCTATATTTTTTTCTTTTTCTTTATTTTTTATATTTATTTTACTTACTATTTTATCTTTGTTTTCTTTATCTTATCTTTTATTTAATTTGTTTTCTCTTTATTTTAATTTAATTAATTTATTTATTTCTTACCTTTTTATCTATTACTTTTTTATCTAACATGGTTTTTTGACCTTCTTAAGGCCACACCTTTAAAACTATCTAAGGTAAGTAATTGTGATCGTATTTTTACCTTTTAATTTTAAATTACAATTTTCTTAATTTAAGACAACCGGCAAATTACGTAGTACCGAAAGGGCGGTTCAAGGGTGTTAATCCTTCCTTGACCGTAATCGACTCCCGAATCCGACATATCTTTGGTAAGACGCAGATCAGGTAAGATATAAGGTATCCGATTAACCTATTTATTTTTTAAATAAATAATCGGTGGCGACTCCAATCATATTTTTCAAGTCAAAGCCCAATTCCGGGGCCCAACCGAAAGACGGTTATGATAGGTTAAAATGATTTTTCGAAAGTTTGAGGGTTAAAATTATAATTAGATGTTATATATATATGTATATATATTGAGACCGAAACCTCAATCATGCAATATTTATTGGGGCAAAACTTGAAAGTGGAATTATATATATATTCCTTTGTACACACGGCCACGAAACATGGATATGAAAATCCAAGTTTCAGAGATGAATCATGGTAATGAAATGAAAGCCAAAAGCATGAAAATATCATCGTCCAGCCTCCTCCACTGTTGCATGTGTGGAGATTCTGGTATCACTCGAGAGCTTTTTCGATGCAAAGTTTGTCATTTCAGATCTCAACACAGGTACTTCTTTCTTTCTGGGTTTTCATTTTCATTGGTCAAGAACCAGATTTTCTTTCTTCCTTTTACAAAGAAGAAATTTGGGAAAGATGATGAAGATCGTCATGGAATTTGGCTTTTTTTATGGCAGATATTGCAGCAATCTGTATCCGAAATCCTTGTCTAATAAAGTTTGTAATTGGTGTTTGCATCAAAAGGAGGATTCAAAGGAAAAGTCCCAGAATTTATTGATTTCTTCAGCTTCATGTGAAACCAAAAGCAAAGATGATGATGATGATAACAAGAGCAAGAAAAAGGGCGATAATTCAAAGCCTGAGAAACTGGTAAAAAATCTGATAAAGAAACTGAATTTAGAAGAGAAACTTTCGCCGAGAACGAAGCGAAAACGGATCATGACGAATAATGCTAGTCCAGAAGAAAAGCCAGAAGAGAATGGGATCATTACAGGACATGTTTTTAGAAACAAGGTAAGAAGATATAAGCATTTGGACGAGGTTTCAACTTAAACTGGGGAATAGGATTGTCCTCAACAAGAGCTGTTTTCTTTTCTTTTCTTTTCTTCCAAACAAATAAAATCTCACTCTACCTTAGAGAAAAAATATCTTCTGGAATGATGGTAATCATGGATACATTTTCTTTCCCATTGGATAAACTTTTGAACTTGTAATTAGATATTAATATTGTTATCTGATTAAATATATATGTGGTTATAATGATATCTATAATTTTAAAGAAATTCACACAACGTCGTCTAAGTAAAGTAGGATAGAATTTGTGTTTAGATAGAATTTTAGGCCTCCCAATATTGAAATATCTCACTTTCCATTTTTTTTTTCAATACTCTTTGGAAGAAACAATAGAAGCTACTGTTTTGCCTCTAATGCTTCCTCCATCGAGGTTTCAAGCCTGGCACATTGGATAGTTAAAGAGTCCAGTGGCTGGTGTGGACTGTTGCTTCTTTGGTTCTGGTTTTATACATGATATACTGTAATATGAAAATATAAAATGATATAAATATACAAATAATTCAAACTTATACAACACGGAATATTAAAAATTGTATATAAATAACATGCAGAATATTTTGGGTGGGAAAGAAGAATGGATGAGATTTGATAGACTTGGGTAAACTCCAGTCAATTGCGTAGATATATCAGTGATGGGGGAAAGCATAAAAACCATTAATCACGCGGAATTTTGCCTTTTCTTGTAAACTATGATATTTCTTCTTCTTCAAGTTTCGTTTGCCTTTTTCTCATGGCGTTTACAATGTCTTATTGACTTGACTTGCATTTGTATTATAGCTAAGGAATGTCTTTAAGTGACTTGATCGCGTTTACATATTACAGCATTAGATCCACACGGTTTTAACCTCACAAATAAACGTGTACGTGTTTAGGGATGATAGCAATGAATATGATACATCTATATATCACCAATCAATTGATTTTTGTGGTTAAAGAGATTATTGTTGTTTTTAGAGGTTCCGGATTTGAACACCAACGACTTCAGAGTATTTGAACGTTCATTATCAATGTTGGAAAAGTCATAAAATAAGGCCACCGAAAGTGGCAAGGGAGGCCACCGAAAGTGGCATTTATTTTTGTTGAAAAAAATGGTAAATGGCATAAGTGCATTTTAGTCATTGTACTTTAGGGTATTTACAAGATTAGTCCTCAAGCTTCAACTATAAATACCCTAGCTCATTTAGCTTCAAAATCATCCCAAAATCGAAAATCATTTCTTTCTCCCAATACTAGAGAGCTTTCTTGTGAGTAGTAAGTGTTTTGTAAACACCTGTAAATTTTCTCTCTTAGTAAAAGATCTGCAGCAGTCCGGAGACGTAAGCAAAATTGGTTGAACTCCGTTATCAATTTCAGGTATTATTTTTCCACTTTTATTTCGCATTCTCACTAATCTAGTAATAGGGAAATTACTCGCTATCGTTTATTTCCCAACAACTGGTAATAAGAGCTTTTGGTTGTGAATTTTGTCAATTTTTTACGAGGTTACTATTTATTACTATTCATATGAATAGTAAATGTTATGAATAGTGAAATTTTGTCGGCGATACGAATTTGTCGACGGAGGTGTTCTAATACACGGTGGTTCGCAAGAATTGTCAGAAACGATCCAAACGAAATCAGATTCGAGTGGGAGCGATGGCTGTAGACGAAGGGACAGTGAAAATTGAAAGGTTCGATGGTGCGGACTTTGGCTTTTGGAATATGCAAATTGTAGATTTTCTGTACTAGAAAAATCTATATCAACCTCTCTCAGGAAAGCAATCAGAGGGCATGAAGAATGAAGATTGTGCTCTTTTCGACAGACAAATCCTCGGAGTTATCCGACTGACGCTATCCCGCAATGTTGCTTTCAACATAGCAAAGGAAAAGACCACTGCGAGTCTTATGGAGGCTATCTCCAGTATGTATGAGAAGCCATCGACCTTAAACAAAGTTCATTTGATGAGACGATTATTTAATTTGCGGATGGCGGAAAGGGCATCTGTGGCTCAACACCTAAATGAACTCAACACAATCACAACTCAGTTGAGTTCTATGGAAATTGAATTCGATGATGAAGTTCGAGCTTTAATTCTCTTATTATCTCTACCAGACAGTTGGAATGCTACTGTTACAACAGTTAGCATATCGTTGGGAAATAGTAAATTAAAATTCGACGATGTTCGGGATCTGGTACTAAGCGAAGAAATTCGACGGAGAGAATCAGGTGAAGCATCAACCTCCTCAGCCTTGCACACGGAGTCCAGAGGGAGAACTTCATAAAGAAATTCAAATCGTGGCAAATCCAAATCCAGAACGGGAAAGGAAGATTTTACCTGTTATAACTATGGCAAGAAGGGTCACTTTAAAAGAGATTGTCGAGCACCGAAGAAAAATACCGGCGCACAGGAATCTACCAACGTGACAGAGGAGACAGGTGATGCCATGATTCTAAGCGTCAACAGTCCGATTGAATCATGGATGTTGGATTCAGGGGCATCTTTCCACTCCACCCCATGCCAAGAAATCATGGAGAACTATGTCAGTGGTGATTTTGGGAGGGTTCATCTAGCTGATGACGAAACCTTGAAGATCGTCGAAAAAGGAGACATCCGATTAAAGTTGCCAAACCAGACCACCTGGACGCTGAAGGGAGTGAGACATATTCCTGGCCTCAAAATAAATTTGATTTCTGTAGGACAACTTGATGAAGAAGGATATAGTACAACCTTTTCAGGCTATGAATGGAAGATTACCAAAGGAGCACTCATCATTGCTCGTGGTAAGAAGACACTTACTCTCTATGTAACATCAAATTTAGAGAATATCATTTCAGTAGCAGATGCAGATGGAAAATCAAACCTATGACACCAAAGGCTTGGCCATATGAGCGAGAAAGGGATGAAGATACTTTTGTCAAAAGAGAAGCTACCGGATCTAAAAAATGTAGATGCCGGACTATGCGAGGATTGCATCTTTGGCAAACAAAAAAAAGTCAGCTTTGAAAAGATTGGTAAGACACCCAAGGCTGAAAAGTTATAGTTGGTTCATACTGATGTATGGGGACCATCTCCAGTTCCATCTATTGCAGGCTCATTATATTATGTCACCTTCATCGATGATTCTACAAGGAAGGTGTGGGTTTATTTTATGAAGAAGAAATCAGAAGTCTTTGATACCTTCAGAAAATGGAAGGCCATGGTGGAAAATGAGACTGGTCTGAAAGTGAAGCGGTTGAGGTCTAACAATGGAGGAGAGTAAAGAAATCGTAGATTCAGAGATTTCTACGCAAGCAATGGGATCAAGATGGAGACAGCAGTTCCCATGACACCGCACCAGAATGGCGTAGTAGAGCGCATGAACAGAACTCTGAATGAACATACCAGAAGCATGAGGATACATGCCGGATTACCCAAATTTCTATTGGTTGAAGCTATCAACATTGCAGCTTACCTGATCAACCGTGGGCCCTCAGTTGCTTTGGATGGCGGAATACCAGAGGAAGTTTGGAGTAGAAAAGAAATAAACCTTTCACACTTAAGAGTGTTTGGTTGTATTTCTTATGTACACATAAACTCTGCTGAAAGAAGTAAACTTGATCCCAAGTCCAACAAATGCATCTTTGTTGGTTATGGTGGTGATGAGTTCGGTTATTGATTTTGGGACTACGAAAATCGAAAGATCATCAGAAGAAGAGATGTCATTTTCAATGAGAATGTGATGTACAAAGACAGGTCAACCATAGAATCAAGTAGCTCCAATATCGAAGCTGAAACAAAGGAATTTGCTGAGTTCGAGGAGATTTCTGGAAATGATGTTCAAATCAGTCCTGAAGTAGCTCACGAAGAACCAGGCACACCAGAACTGAGACACTCTTCTAGAATTTTTAAACCAACCCAACGGTATTCTCCTTCTTTGCACTACTTGTTGTTGACTGACAATAGTGAACCAGAGTGCTATGATGAAGCAATGCAAGTGGAGGATTCAGACAAGTGGGAGTCTTCTATGAAAGATGAGATGGACTCGCTTATGTCAAATCAGACATGGGAATTAGATGAATTACCATCAGGAAAGAAAGCGCTCTATAACAAGTGGATCTACAGGATCAAAAAAGAGCACGATGGGAGCAAACGCTACAAAGAAGGATTGGTTGTCAAAGGTTTTCAGCAAAAAGAAGGTATTGACTACAATGAAATTTTCTCTCCATTCGTGAAACTGTCTACAATCAGACTGATGTTGAAAATTGTAGCTACAGAAAATCTACATCTTGAGCAGTTAGATGTAAAGACAGCTTTCCTTCATGGACATTTGGAGGAAGAAATCTATATGAGGCAGCCAAAAGGCTTTATAGAGGCAGGCAAGAAAAACCTGGTATGCAGGTTGAAGAAGAGCTTGTATGGTTTAAAACAAGCTCCTAGACAGTGGTACAAGAAGTTCGATAGTTTCATGAGTAGCAGTGGTTTTACCAGATGCCAAGTAGATCATTGTTGCTACATCAAGAGGTTCGATAATAGCTTCATTATTTTATTGTTGTACGTTGATGACAGCTCGTTGCAGGCTCAGACATACCAGAGATTATAAACTTGAAGCAAAAATTGTCGAAGTAGTTTGCTATGAAGGATCTGGGCGCTGCAAAGCAGATTATTGGAATGAGGATTAAGAGAGACACAAATTCGGGGACTTTGATGTTATCACAGACAAAGTACATCAACAAAGTACTTTCCAAGTTCAACATGCAAGATGCTAAACCAGTAAGTACACCTTTAGGTGTTCACTTTAGACTCTCCAAAGAACAGTCACCAAAGACGGAGGAAGAATGTGCACACATGGTGAAGGTGACGTATGCCTCAGCAATTGGAAGTCTGATGTATGCCATGGTTTGTACCAGACCAGATATTGCTCATGCAGTGGGAGCAGTTAGCAGGTACATGAATAATCCAGGCAATGTACACTAGGAAGCTGTCAAATGGATCCTCATATATCTGTGGGGTACCACAAACAAAGCACTTTGTTTCAAAGGTGGAGATACGATACTGACAGGCTATGTAGATGCTGACTTAGCCGGAAATGTTGACATCAGAAGGAGCACTACAGGGTATGTCTATACTGTAGGAGGAACTGCAGTGAGTTGGGTTTTTCAACTACAGAAGATAGTTGCTCTCTTCACAACTGAAGCATAATATATCGCTGTTACGGAAGCCAACAAGGAGATGGTCTGGCTCTAAAGTTTCTTGGAAGAGTTAGGAAAGAAACAAGAAAATAATGTCTTGTATTGCGACAGTCAAAGTGATATCCATCTAGCAAAGAATCCGTCTTTTCATTCTAGGATGAAGCACATATAATTACGATATCATTTTATCCGGTCTCTTCTGGAAGATGGGATTTTGAAACTAGAAAAAATTAGTGGAGCTCAAAATCCGACAGACATGTTGACAAAGACGGTGACCACGGACAAACTGAAGTTGTGTTCAGCTTCAGTTGGCATGCTAGAATAACAAGACTAGAAATATTGTTGCATTGATCGAGGTGTGAAGACAGATTAAAATTGGTCTTCAAGTGGGAGATCGTTGGAAAAGTCATAAAATGAGGCCACCGAAAGTGGCAAGGGAGGCCATCGAAAGTGGCATTTATTTTTGTTGAAAAATGGTAAATGGCATAAGTGCATTTTAGTCATTGCACTTTAGGGTATTTACAAGATTATTCCTCAAGCTTCAACTATAAATACCCTATCTCATTTAGCTTCAAAATCATCCCAAAATCGAAAATCATTTCTTTCTCCCAATACTAGAGAGTTTTCTTGTGAGTAGTAAGTGTTTTGTAAACACCTGTAAATTTTCTCTCTTAGTAAAAGATCTGCAGCAGTCCGGAGACGTAAGCAAAATTGGCTGAACTCCGTTATCAATTTCGGGTATTATTTTTCCACTTTTATTTCGCATTCTCACTAATCTGGTTATAGGAAAATTACTCGCTATCATTTATTTCCCAATAGTCAAATGATTAAGAGTCTTTAGAACATATACTATCACTTATAATTACCCTGAATCAATCAAAAAATTTATATTACTAATACCATAAATTGATATATATTATTATAAAAAATATATTTTTGGGAAAACTATATGTTTAGTATCCCAACTACCACTTTTGTTTCATTCTAGTCACCCAACTGTTATTATTTTTTTAATTCATACCTAATGTTATACTTTTTGTTTCATTTTAGCCATCTACTGTAAAAATATTAATGGTGATGTTGACATGTCACCATAAGATATTGCCACAACATTATTGATTTTTTTAAAAAAATGTCACGTCAATAGTTTTATTAATTTTTAATATTTAGTGACTAAAATGAAGGCAAAAATGATCATTAGATATGATTTTTTAAAAGGGTAACCTTTATCATTAAGAGTAATTTTCTTAGTAAATCAACATGGTATAAATAGCTTTGGGTCTTGGTGGTGAATAGTTTTCTTCCTCATTCTTATCTATGTGACTCATTTGGTGCTCCCTTCTAATAGTACTACGACTATAGAATTGGAGTCTGCCTCGATGATCTCTCAAAAGGCATTCAATAACCAATATCTTAGAATCGTTTTGGATGAGAAGAATTTTCTTTTGTGGAAACAACAGGTCCTCTTCGACATTAGAAGTCATCGCCTGGAGAAGCTACTCATTGGTTCAATTGCTCCACCGCCTATGACGATTATTCTTACCGACAGTTTTGTTATTGACAATGAAGCATATGAACTCTTTTTTACTCAGGATAATGACAATGCATCATGGTTTCTGTTCACAATCATCTCATCATTGTTACCTCAACTGGTGGTGCGGACACTGCTACTCAGGTTTGGTTCATGGTCAATGTGTTCTTTGCCAATAGGTTGTTAGAATAATGAGTCAGCATCAATGTTGTTAGTACTGCAACGTGTATGAGCTTAGACTGCATGGTATCATTAGGTGAATGGTTAGAAGCTTCTTAAAGTTGTTATAGCAGTTAAGGTTGTTAGGGTGTTAACATGGTTAGTTGAATAGTTAAGGTTGTTACATTAGTCATGAGAAACTGTATATAAACAACAACAATCTTGTATTCAAGGCAGAGTTCTAGTATTCAATATACAAGTATTATTCATTTGTTTTCTGTATTCTCAATATGGTTTCATTCACCATTGATATTGGGATCGTGTCTTCTTGCTTCCGCTTGTGATCTGAACGCTGTTGAAGTACTGTCTGATCATGGATTTTGCCACTAGTGTTCCTCGAGGTTTCACCAACAAGAAAGTTAATGTGGTTCTTTATGAAACCAACTTATTTTTGTGGAAACAGTAGATCTTGCTCATAGTTCGTATTCATCGACTGGAGCAGCTACTGATTGGTGGTGTTCCTCCTCCACCTAAGACGATTATTTATGCTAATGATGAGACTCAAGAGAATGAAGCATATGAAGACTTCATCGCGCAAGACAATGTTCTAGCATCTTGGCTATTGTTAATGGTAAGCACACAGTTTTTACCACAATTTGTTAGAGCTGAAACAGTTGCTGCAGTTTGGGAGACAGTACTCAAGTTTTTTGCAAATCTTTCAACTATGTCAGTTACGAGTTTGCACTATAAACTGTAATCTATAAGAAAGGGGAATGACAGAATGCGAGTGTATCTAACGCGTATTAAATAAGTCTGTGATGCTCTTGCCTCATATGGGAGTGATGTTCCTCCAGTTGAACAAATAGTTAGAATATTGAGAGGTCTTCCTCGAGAGTATCAACCATTCATGGTTGTTGTCTCAACAATGAAATATGCACTCTCCATAGACAACATACATGTAATACTGATGGATGCTGATGTACAACTTGCTGGATTTGATGAACAGTAGGGCAACTTGCCTATGAATGCAAATTATGGACGTATTGAGGTTGATCGTGTTCAGGGTGAGGTCGAACACGTGTTCAGTGTCAGCTCTGTGGGATGCTAGGTCACTTGGTTGATCGTTGTTGGTATAGATTTGATGAAAACTTTACTTGTGCTCAACCAATAATTATTCTTCTTCCAAGGATAGTTCCTCCAGTAGTTACTCCTCGACTGGTTCCACCTCTGCCAGAGGTAGTCAGGGCTGTGAGTGTTGTTATCGTATGAAAATAGACTCTCAAGTAAATTTTATTACTGCAACTTCTGAGCGTTGGGTGGTGGACTCGGGTATCACTCACCATGTCACCCCTGATAGAACGAATCTAGGAAACACCACTGACTTCCATGGCCCAGGTAAACTTACAGTTGGTAATGGTAATTCTCTAGATATTCGACTCATTGGTCATTCAAGTTTACCTACTTCATCTATAGTATTGATATTTCATGATTTGTTACATGTCTTTTATATAACAAAGAACTTGCTTTCGGTCTCGAAGCTTGCTAGGGACAACAATATATTCTTTGAGTTTTATACCAGTAGCTACTATGTACGAGATGAGGTTACTAAGTAGGTGCTCTTAACTGGTGAAGAATCTGGAGGGCTTTACTTATTTATGACAAGTAAGAAAACAAGAGAATCTAGTTGTATTGCTGTTGATGTTAGTGTTGTTGCT